ATACACGAAATATAATATAGCTATTTAATAGAAAGCAAATACACAACATTTTGGCGACGAGGACGGGATTAAGAAATATTACCACGTTAGAAAAAGCAAGGTATTGTAGCAGCTATTGCCATCCTGTGGAAAGATGGCAGATGAAGCACCAGAACCGATTCGAAACATCGGTAAAGTTCGAAAGTTTGTTGTTGGCACTACTCGAAGCGTATGCCGAACAACTGGAATTCTTTTTCGTAGCAAATAGCGTGACTGATGCTAAACAAAAGAAAGCTGTCCTGTTGACGAATATGCCTGCAGAAACCTACCAGTTAACAAAGGATTTATTTGCTCCACATCTACTAAAAGAGGGCACGATCACGTACGAAGCGATAGTCGAGCGACTTCAGAAACAGTTAAAGCCACAGAAATCAGCATTAGTAGCCAGATACGAGGTTGATAATCGAGCGAGAAACGCGGGAGAGACGGTGAGTGAATACGTAGCTGTTTTAAAACATTTAGCTACAGAATGTAAGTTCAACGAAACGATGCGTTTAGAGCGACTTAGAGATCGGTTAGTATCTGGTATTCGTGACAGAAAAATGATGTCAGAACTCTTAAAACTTAAGCTCGAAGAACTGACCTTTGACACAGCCGTTGCTAAATGCATCGCTATTGAACAATCATGTAAGGACGTTGAAACTATGCAAGGGGGGAGAGATTCAAACCATACGAATAAGGAATCAGATTCAGTGAATTTGTTAAATAAACCTGAAGAGCAAAACAGGAATACGAAAGCCAAGAAAGGAAGGGACGCCTCTCCTTCCCCTGCAGACCCCAAGTGTTACCGTTGTCATGGTGACATCAGCATAAATCCTGCCCCTTTAAAAATGCAATTTGCCATTATTGTAAGAAGAGCGGTCATATTCGGAGAGCTTGTAGAAAACGAAGCAAAGAAACACATAGTTTCAAACCCCCAGTAAATCACATTGATGATGATGATGATAGTGACAGCGATGATTACCTGGCTAGTTTAGAAATAAATAAAGTGGGAAACAAAGATAACGTAATGTGGGTAACCCCAAAGTTGAAGGAACACCCTTAAGAATGGAGCTAGACACAGGCTCTGCAGTTTCAGTTATCCCGTATCAGTTATACAGAGCTAAGTTTAGTCACATAAAGCTACAGAGAAGTCAAATCACACTTAAAACTTACACAGGGGAAAAGCTGTATCCAAAAGGGAAAATCAACTGTAGAGTTAGTCTCGATGGCCAGACAAGACAGCTAGATATTCAAGTTATTGAGTCCCTGGGACCAGCGTTATTTGGGCGTGATTGGCTTTCTGTAATCAAACTAGACTGGGGCGAGATCAAAGCCCTTAAAGTAAACCAAGCGACAGACAATGAGACACAGGGTAAGGTAAATAACCTTTTGAAAAAGTATAAAAGTGTGTTCGATGATGATTTGGGCACCTTGAAGGGACACCAAGCTGACCTCAAATTAAAAGAGAACTGTCGACCCCGATACTGTAAGGCACGACAGGTGCCATATGCCTTGCGACCTAAGGTAGAAGCCGAGCTAACACGCCTTGAAAAGGAAGGGATTCTAAACAAGGTGGAACATAGTGAGTGGGCAACCCCTATTGTACCTGTGGTCAAACGAAATGGCTCAGTACGAATATGTGGGGATTTCAAAGTCTCTGTTAACCCAGTTTTAATCGCAGAACAATACCCTTTGCCCCGTATCGAGGATATTTTTGCCAATCTGGCTGGGGGTAAGCATTTTACCAAATTAGACTTACGCCAAGCCTATCACCAAATGGAGGTCACTGAAGAGACACGAAAGTATTTGACTATTAACACACATAAGGGTCTATTTCAGTATCAGCGGTTAGTTTTCGGTGTGACGTCAAGCCCAGCAATTTGGCAACGTGCCATGGACCAGGTGTTACAGGGTATACCTGGAACACAATGCATCCTTGACGACATGATAATTACCGGAAAGTCCAATGAAGAGCACTTAGAACGGTTAGAGGAAGTTCTAAAGCGATTACAAGAGGCAGGTCTGAGAGCAAACAAAAAGAAGTGTGAATTCTTCAAGGAGAAAGTTGTGTTTTGTGGCCATGAAATTGATGCCAATGGTTTACACAAAACCCAAGAGAAGATCGAGGCAGTAGTGAACGCCCCTAGGCCCGAGAATGTGTCACAAGTTCGATCCTTCCTAGGACTGGTAAATTACTATAATCGGTTTCTCCCCAACGCAGCTTCAGTTCTTCACCCACTACACGTATTGCTTCAGAAAAGTCACAAGTGGAAGTGGACTGAACAATGTGAGAAAGCTTTTAAAAATGACAAGCACTTGATAACCTCTGACCTAGTCCTAACCCACTACGACACAACGCTTCCAGTTAAGATCGCATGTGATGCTTCACCAACCGGAATTGGTGCAGTGTTGTCGCATGTTATGGCAGATGGAAGTGAAAGACCAGTGGCTTTTGCATCCAGATCCCTCACAAAGACGGAGCGCAAGTACTCCCAGATTGAGAAGGAAGCACTGTCAATTGTGTGGGGGGTCAAGAAGTTTCACATATATTTGTATGGGCGACGGTTTACACTAGTCACTGACCATAAACCTCTGACATCCATTTTCCATCCAGAAAAATGAATACCCATAATGACGGCCACAAGACTCCAACGCTATGCATTGTTCCTAGCTGGATTCGAATATGACATTGAGTACAAGAATACGAAAGAACACTGTAATGCAGATGGTCTATCACGACTACCACTGCCAATGACGGAGAAAGAGGATACAGCTGTGGATGCAGCTGAAGTGTTTCATGCAACCCAGTTAAACATTCTCCCAGTCACCAGTGAATCGGTAGCTAAAGAGACAAATCGTGATCCCATATTAGCCAGAGTTTATGATTCAATAGTTAAAGGTTGGTCAGCACGTTTCGAGGGAGACAAGCCCTACCATGACCGACATAGTGAACTTACAGTTCATCAAGGTTGTATCCTTTGGGGAATGACGTATCGTCAAGATGAAGGCCCTATCACGAAGCTATGTGTGGTGGCCAAACATCAACCAACAGTTGGAGAACGTAGCGAAAACCTGTAGTGGTTGTCTACAGAACCAAAAGATGCCATCCAAGGTATCCTTACACCCATGGGAATGGACCACTTCACCATGGCAACGTGTACATATTGATTATGCTGGTCCTTTTAAGGATACTATGTTCCTGGTGGTGGTCGACGCACACAGCAAGTGGCCAGAAGTAATTCCTATGAAGTCGACAACCGCAGCGAAGACCATTGAAGTACTAAGAAATTTGTTTGCACGATTCGGAATCCCGGAACAGATTGTCTCCGATAATGGCCCCCAATTCGTCTCAGAAGAATTCCGGTCGTTTATGAAATCTAATGGAGTAAAACACATCACCTCTGCCCCATACCACCCTGCTACAAATGGCCTTGCAGAAAGATCAGTGCAAACATTCAAACAGGCACTGCGTTCAATGGAAGAAAGTTCGAAGCCAATTCAAGACAAGTTAGCAAAATTTCTTATAACCTATAGAAATACCCCACATTCAACAACTGGAGAGAGCCCAGCACAACTTATGCTTGGCAGGCCAATACGGACACGTTTAGACTTAGTTAAACCTAATCTGAACAGGAAGATGGTGATCAAACAACAGGAGCAGAGCAGGAAGTCGGCCAGTGCCAAGAACAGAACAACACGGCAGTTGGAAGTGGGAGACATGGTAATGGCACGTGATTACCGAGGAAATCTAAAGTGGAGATCGGGAAAGGTCATTGAAAGGATCGGACCTTTGATGTATAAGATCGAAGTGACATCGGGCGTAATCTGGCGCAGACATATTGACCAACTGCTGCCAACCGAAGTTAAACTAAGCACAATACAGGACAGGGAGCAAACTGCGAATATGGGAGTAGTGCAGCCGGAAGTGATATCCAGTTCAAGTGAACAGACGTTGCCAATAGTAGCAGCGGACTTGCAAGTGCAACAGGGCTCCAGCACCCACGAACTTGTAAATGAGAGCACTACAGAGACATCAATGCCTCTGGCGACAACGAGCGAACGAAGATATCCAGAAAGAGTGAGGAAACCACCTGTGAGACTTGATCTCTAAAGTAGCAGTGTTACGGACAGATGTAAGGGTTAGAACGTATATTTACAGTATATAGATATACAGCAAAGACTGTTAATTATGACTTTAATGTTAATGTTAGGTGCAGCAAAGACTGGATATTGACTGAACAATTTTTAGTAGGGAGGAGATGTTATGGGTTACCTATGTTATTAGGATGCGCGCGCATCCACCATGTGTTCGGGATGAGTGCTTCTTGTTGAGTTATACACGAAATATAATATAGCTATTTAATAGAAAGCAAATACACAACACAATGGTTGCATATCAACGAGTCTAACGACATAGAGTTTTTACAAATAACCGACATGAAGTATTGAGCGTAATTTTGAAAATGGAAATTGTATAGTTCGAGAGTAAAAACTAAAGTAGGAAGGAAGACCTTCAAATTTTAAGGAAGTTTGTTGTTTAACAAACTTGCGAAAAAACTAAAGACCGAAAAATCTATTGTTATTTTTAAACAAAATTTTGAAATTCATTAATATTAATGAGCTCAAAAAGCAATCAGAACGTGACAATCAAGTCACATGAGTAGCGTAAGAAATCTCAATAAAGGTCCAGTATTTAAGTCATTAGCTTTGATACAGATGTTCTATTCAGCTAATTAATTCATTAACTTTGATCCAGATGTCCTGGTGGGCTAATTAATTAGTCATTAAGTTTGATACAGATGACTTCCTCAGCTATTTAATTCATTATTTTTAATACAGATCTTACACTAAAACTTCACACAACATTAAGAAAACAACAACAACACACTTAATAACGAATGTAAAGGAAATACAATAATTTTTTTACAATAAAGTTAATGCTACATTTCTTAAACACTGCACTTGTTAAATCCCAGCTTTCAGACCAAACATTTTCCCGTTGTAAAACATACCGTATGAAGTAACGACTCAGCTGTTGTGCCTCCTAATAGTCCTTTCTCCCAGAGTAGACTCTCCTCTTCGGCCGTAACGTCCTTGCGATCTTCTTTCTTGCATGCTACTGCGACGCCACTTTTTGTAGCATACTTCATCTCTGCATCTAATGTCTTACGATATAAAGCAAACCTACAAATAAAACCAAGAATTAGCATTCAACAATTTCAAGTACATTCTAGTTATCCCGTGTAGACTGCGACTCTTCAAAAACCTTCAAAGCCCATTTCGTACTATGTATATGCAGTGATTTTCGGTGTTGCTTCAGCAAGCAAACACCTTTCTTCGTCTGCAGTTTTTGCCGCACGAAAACATTGGAATGCCATGTTTGCTTCAACCAAGTTATTAACTTTGAAATGCAATAATCAAGTGTGTAATCAACGTTGCATAACTCGTAAATTCAGTGACTAAATCATCGGTAAAGTACCAATGGGAATATATGACTGTCTACATATATAATTATTCACTATGCTGTATATATAACTTTCTTTAAGATTTGATGAAACTGAGGTGATTTACAACTTATTGTGTTAAAAGATGTCCCAAGCTTTCTGTCATGCATGCTTTTTAATCTTTGCTTCCTTCACTCCTCGCAAACAGCTATATGTTTTTGAGATCAGTGAGATGACCACCCATGCATAGTCATGCGCCCACGACCATTGATGAACTTTAGACTTCGCTAGTGCTTTCTTTTACCCGGGTGTAAATAGCCGAGCCGAATTAGTGCCCTCGCCACGGCTTCGCCCTACACGATGCCCGTGGCTAGAGGACTACTTAAACCTTTGCTAAAAACCTTTCCATTTTCGTACACAGAGTCCTTGTTTCGAATTCGTTTTTTTCTATTCCGAGTTCGGGTTTTCAAAAGGTAAGTCCGGGTTTTCACAAAGACGAGTCCGTTCCGGGTTTCGAAGTATCCCACTGTTTACTGTACAGAACGTTTCATATTTGTTTGTTTTACTACTCCCTTAACCAACGGCCCCATTCCGGTGCAGGGTTGGTAAGTTAGATGAATAATTAGGCCAAATCGTCATTAATGCCGTTTAAACGTCAATTAGTGTCGTTTAGAAAACAAAGAAAACAAAAGGCCAAGACAAAGAATACAAAGGCCTAATGTGATGGTGTTTGGTCTAATTATTCAACAAACCTACCAACCCTGTTCCGGTGGGGCAGGGGTACTAATTCCGCCTGGCTAGTTAGAATCAGGTAATTTCATCAATCTGTGACTGTAAACCGTGAAACAAAGTTTGAAAGGCATACATGATACATGGCGACCCGGACCCGTGGTCCCGACCAGTGTGAGTTGTAAATCGTTAGTTTCCACAGCATTGTTAGTAAAGCTGGGAAGACTGGTCGTTTTCGGTTCTGATTGGAGCTCTTCAGTGGTCCTAATATTTGACCGAGTTTGAAGGAAACTATTTGAAAACTCAGCGAGTTATTAAATAAAATATTTTTGCTATATTCGCAAGCGCGCGAAGGTCTGTACTTTGTTTACGTCAGTGTGTATGACTCTATATAGAACAAATTGTCGAACGAAATAACTTTTTCTGTAATCTCGTTGGTCAACAGTTGTTGCATGGAATTAGAGTGGCGTTAAGTAAAACAATCCGCGAAATCGCCGTAATATATATAAATTCGATTGTCTCGACTAAATTTTTTTCGGTAATTTCTGATTTTTGAATGAGTTTTGGTCCTGATCTGTTTAAACGGGTTTTTTCAGAAATTTCCACAGCTGAAAATCGAGAATCTCAGCTACAAAAACATACCGGGCTTTATTTGAATTTTGGAAATTTGGTGAATTACGAGCGATTCATTCCAAAAATCTGAAATATCATTTTGAAAAATTATATCTTAAAATCGGCATCAGTATGACTCAGAAGCGTGAAGGCACCGCGATTTAAAAAATCGTGAATAATTCATTGAACATTTGATGAAAATTGGATAAAAATCGGACATATGTCAAGCGCGCAATAGCGATTCTCCGCAGAAACCACAAAAGGTGTCCTGTACACGGCAAAAATCGCCGAGCCCGCTGCTCAACAGGATTGAACAATGTTTTGCTGCCCATGTTGTTCACACTTGCCAGCAATATTGAACAGTATTGTTGAGCCTGAATGGGGTGTAATAATATTGTTCAATATTGCTGACAACTGTGAACAATGTGGGCAGCAAAACATTGTTCAATCCTGTTTTCATCAATATTGCATTAACCTGAACGTTTTTACGCGTGTAGGTGATCTTAATGTGTGTTCTATAAAGAATGTCAACAGTAACATCCCCGCATGATGCACGTGTTTTGTATCTTTATTTAAAAAAAATTAATTAAGATGATATAATCTTAGCTTTCACTTTTTTTTCAAAATCCTTACTATGGAAATAGCATGGATCTTCGTTGGAAATAGCAGGGAAATCCCAATTTTCATACCAATATATTGCAAATTCCATACTATGGTCCATAGTATGGACCATAGAATGGAATTTGCAATTGGTATATTGGATATAATAAGGAAACAATATGGATTGAGTGATGCAATTGCAAATTCCATAGCATGGATTTCACTTTCTTTCCCAGTGTTTATTCATGCAAATGTAAAGTGTACTTTTGCTTCCACCTTATACCAAGAGTTAAACCCAGACATAGTCTACCAAGATATGATGGTCTGGAAACTATACGGAAGTGACTGTTATATAATAGTTTCATTTCCAGAAACACCACGTAAATTTATTACTGCAAAGCTTTCGAACCGTAAGCCCGGATCTTCATCAGTGCCAATAATACGTGACTTGTTCAATTCACACACCCTTTTTATATACAAAAGTGTCGTGATCTGTTGCCTCGCGTCATTTGAAATTTAATTAAACGGCACATCAACAATGTTTGTCATATGTTCTTGCATGAGTTCATGTTAATTTGTGCACGGTGACGGTGGTTGATATTGAGCTCATTGTATTTTTGCATAATTAGGTAACCATCCAATAAGGATAGCTGAGATCAACCGTACAGTTACGATGAATAATATTTAATGAAGTTGAGACAAAGGATTTGTGCACGGTGAGGTACAGTCCAACATCAAACAAAGATTTTCTATTTTGTGGCTTTGATGTTTGTTGGGATTCCAGACCATCACATGTCAATATAAATATAGACTATGACCTAGAGTTGTAAAAGTGTTACTTACATATGTCACCATAAACATTAAGCCTTGGAAAGTTTTTAGATATTTTCTTTTCATTCACATACGAACGCAGAACAGTCCACTAACTTGAGACTTCATGCTGAGTTGCTGAAATGTGATTTGCTATTTGCTTTCGAATTCGCCACAACTTCCGCGTTCATAATGTAAATGTGTATGTCTTACCTCAAACAGTTTGAAGTAGGTTTACTTGATTAAAGAAGATGTTTCCAAAGTGTTTTCATTTTGTGGTATTGGTTTTCGTTTCTCTTCAATTGAAAGGTAAGTGTTTCGTGGTTTACATCACGCATTGCTAACCCTGATGATAAGAGTGATCGAGATTGGTTCACACTAACACTACTTGTACCGGGTAAGACTACTTGTACCGGACTACTTGTAGCCGATGGCTTTCCATAGCGATCCGAACCTTTATGGAACGCTATTTGCAGAGGAATTATTACAACGGAGAAATGTTATTTTACTCAGCTTCTGAAAGTTGTACATTCCGTAACGGATAGATGTTTTTAGCGCAGCTACGGGATACGGAAAGCCAACCGGTACCTAAACTATTCGCTGTTCGTACCGTTTACAAAGAAGAAGCCGGTAATCTCAGAGCCTTACTTCAATTTTCACGATTCTACCTTGCGTTCATAATATAGCAGGCATATAACGTTAATAAATTTCACTTACACTGTCAAGGTTGATGTGCTTATAGGTAGTACAATTTTAGCACAATATGAGCAAGTATATGGCGCCAGTAAAGTTTTCTTTTAAAAAACGCGTATAAACCAACTTTATAATTGCAATTTGCAACATTTGTTCTCGCTTTACAAAAATACACAAGCTGCAAGGTCAAGGATACTAAACTTTTTGTAACTGTTATGAACGAAAGAAATAAACACAAATTTTGAATAACCGATTACCCGGAAAATATCAAAACTGATATTTCAGTATAAATAAAAACCCATATAGAGTAACGCCCGTATTCTAAAAGCTCGCTCACACTCAATGAGTGGAGGTTCAATCTGAGCTTCTCTTGAGTGTCAATGTTGTTTTTGAATAGCTGCAGGGTGAGTAGTCACATAGTAAGGTACGACACTAACCCACCAGCTATTCAAGAACAGCATTGACACTGGAGAGAAGCTCAGATTGAACCTCCACTCATTGAGTGTGAGTGCGAGTGAGCTTTTAGAATACGGGCGTAAGAGACCACCGTATTATTTCACACTTTTGCATTGTTTTTCAGGTGCAGCTTGTTTCTTTGTGAAACTTTTCTCGGACTATGGATCCACCTCAGTACGTTGCATTAATGACACAGGTCAAATACAGTCCAGCGGTCATTGGGGAAACTTGTTCTTTCTGGAATTTTCCGATAACAGCTGTTTGGATCCAGCTGCCCAGTTTCGGTTTCGTAATAATGGTGCCATGTTAAATCTAAACCGACAGGGGTGTGTCGCTGCTTTAAATAAGCCTGGTTCTGGATATGATCTTGATATGTTTTATCTTTACGTTGACTCAGTCAGTTTAGATAGAGTTGCTTGCGCTCAAAAGCCTAACGAGGGCATCTATCGTGGTATAACCCAGACACCGGAGGGAAGCCTGTCTGTCTATTATAAAGGGAAAGATAAGAGTTCTTTTGAAACCTGGTTTGCAGATTATAGACGAAGTGACAAACTTTCTAAAAGTTATGGAATTAATGTCTACATCGGATTAAAGACAAACTATGTTAACAGATATATTTTCGGTAAGTTTTTTGTTGAACATCTTTCGTATTTTGAAAGACTTTGTTCCTGGGAGTTATTCTGCATGATGACATGTTTAACCCACTGAGCGCCAGCCCTAATTTAAAATCTTTTTCTCTCGCTAAATATGCTGATTTGACTCCCATTCCTTGTCCTTGTTAACTAAACATTCTACCCGCCATTTCGTTTACCCAATAATCTACACGAAATAGCACTGAATTAAACAGACTTATACAGAAATTGTAGTCCCAGCGGCGTTGTTAACTTAAAACTTATACATGCAGTAGCTAGCTTGTAATATCTCTTACTACATATAATCCTAAGAGTATATGAGTAATATTTAGGGGATAAAGTTTCTCAAAGCTTATGTAAGTCAGTAGGATTTTATATACAAGCTCTTTCGCCGTCATGTAT